TGAAGGTCCAACCCTCTATATACACTAATAAGAACAATATAAAACGCACTAAGGATTAACAAGCTGCTGGATTCATAAATATTAATCAGGTTGTGTGCGTTCGCTCGTACTGATTCGCTGAAATCAAATGAGGGACGATAACACACATTCCTCCTCACTATAATGAAGTCTAACAGACATGTGTCTCAGGCCAGACGAGCTGAACGTACCGCGGCGGCCGTGTGCTGATTGGTGGAGGTGTTGGCGGCTCCCTGGTTGTGTTTGGGGCTGCAGTAGCCGCTGTCGCTGTCGATGTCGGCCTCGCTGGCTCCCTGCTCGCTGGACGACTCCTGCTGAGACGTGTGTCTGCGCCCAGCTTTATTCTTCCACTGAGGACTCGCCTGATCCGACGCACATCTGACGCTGCCAGACGCCTCGCCGGGGAAATCTGAAAACACAGTGTGTTCAGAGCTCAGGGCTCACTGGCTCAGGAATAAAGCAGGAGTTCTGCAGTGTTTATGAAAGTACGTTTAATAAGGAACAAATCGAAGGGAACATCAATATGGCCTCTTGTATTAGCAACACTTCACAGTTTCAAAATACAAAAATCTCCTTTCCTTTTAAATTCATTTTAGGACGTTTAGAACAAAACTAAAATACTGAGGAAGAGATTCATTCTTTGCAGTTCATGCAACATTTAATGCCATGACTTTCTGCTGCAATTTAAGAGCTTTCTAGGCTTTAATTTTTGGAAGACTTAAAGCTGCAGTCCTCAACTTTTAAATACAGAACAGAACTGCGTGCGTCTTGCAGAAGAACATTCTTCTCTCTGTTTATGTCTACTCCGCAGCGGTTCCACCAGTGCCCGTCTGAAATAGTCCGAAAATAAACACTTATTTATTATAGGTGTACCGTAGTGATTCAGGATAAGCAAAGAACACGGTTTGGAAAATGGATTCATGATGCACTCGCTTACGATATTAATTTAGTAAATTTCGAACACATAAAAAAAGTTACAGACTGCAGCTTTAAAAGACCTTTTATGTCTTGCAAGTAACCTGTAAAGTTCAAAGGTCAGCTCAGTACCTGTCTGCTGTGCTGCATCCACCAGCAGCACCGTCTTGGATCTCCCATCAGGCCCGGCGGCACACACCTCCTTCTGAACCGCCACGCTCCGCATCACGGGACGCTTGCCTCTCATTGGCTGAGCCACTGGCTGCTGCGAGCGACACACATGAGTGTTAGTTTACACTAGTGAGCAGACTTGAGTGTGTGGGATAAAGGCACAATATGTACGATTTTCGTGATAAAATATCCAAAAAAATGCTTGCACAGTGTGATATATTTCATGCAGTAGTGTACTTAGGTTATCCCAAAAGTTCCCAAGGACTTGTAAATCCAAAGAAAAATCCACTGTCGCATATCAACGGCGTAATATCCGCACTATCCTCAGTTTACGCTTGTAGAAAGTATGGCAACTCATGTAATGTGTTTTAAAGAAGTATCTTCTGCTCATCAAAGCTGCATTTATTTGATCAAATATACAGAAAAAAACAGTAATCTTGCAAAATGTTATTACAATATAAAATAAAGTTTTTCTATTTTAATATACATTAAACTGTAATATATTTCTGTGATGCGCAGCTGTATTTTCAGCATCATTCCTCCAGTCTTCAGTGTCACATGATCTTCAGAAATCAGTATAATATGCTGATTTATTATCAGTTGTGCCGCTTCATATTTTTTTGGAAGCTGTGATACTTTTTTCAGGATTCTTTGATGAATAAAAAGTTAAAAAGAACAGCATTATTTAAAATAGAAATCTTTTCTAACAATATACACTAGCGTTCAAAAGTTTGGGGTCAGTACATTTATATTCTTTCATTTTTTGAAAGAAATTCAAACTTTTATTCAGCGAGGATGTGTTAAATTGATAAGAAGTGATAGCAAAGATTTATATTGTTAGAAAAGATTTATATTTAACTTGTTATTCATCAAAGAATCCTGAAAAAAGTATCACAGTTTCCCAAAAAAAATATGAAGCGGCACAACTGATAATAAATCAGCATATTAGAATAATGTGAATAATAGAAATAAACAGAGTACAATAAAAATTGTTCAAAGCAAATGTGTCATATTACACATTCATCTGATCGGATATCTGATCTTATGGCTTTTAGATTTTTTTTTAATTATTATTACTTATAAGTTGTCTTTGTCTGCTTTAAGTAAAGTAAGATGTAAGATATGAGACTTACAATGAGAAATATAATCCATTGTAACTTAAGTGGATGCAACCATCATACTCTTAAAAGCTATAACCACAAATAAGTGAATATTATAATACATTAAAACTGTTCTTATGAATATTCATGAGATGATACAAAATATTAAAAGATTTTTTATAATGCATTATGCATTCATTATAATGCCTTAAGAATACCCTTATAATGTATTATAAATATGGGCTTCATAGAAAGTGTTACCGAATTCATTACCTCATCTGTGAACATCCTCCTTCACAGCGTCATCGAGCTTCAACTTTGTTATCGTTTTGAAAATGCGACCTCTAGCGGCGAAAACCCAGGGTTCCTACCCATTTACCATTTTAAAATTCCATACTCAAATTTCCAAACCTCTCAGTAAATTTTCAGACCATATTTGACATTAATGGTTCATAGAGCATTATTTTCAGCTTTATATTTGGTATACAGTACAGTCATCTGAAAATATATAAAGTCCCTAAAATAATTAAAAAAAAATACATGCACACAAGAAACTTTTTGTGTGCCCTCGAGAAACTATTCACATGCGAATAGTTTGTTAATGGGAATTTTTTTGCATGCTTACACATTACAATTTCTAGCTTTATATAACCTATTTCCTTTGTGCATCACTATGAATAAAACGAGAGCATGGATGCACATGAATTAACAGAGATCTACTTGCTCAAAATTTGGCTTTGCTTATTGTATTACCTCTAATATCAATTGGGCTGATGCTGCAACAGGTGGCTCAGTGTGCATTGTCCTATATGCTAAGTTTAATGGTTTTTCATGCGCACATAGAAGTCTGTATATTTCTTTTTTTTTGCAAAGGTCCTTGAGACTGTGTAATACGGTGCTAAGAATATGTGTCCCTGCAGCACAAAAGCAGTGTTAAGTCGCTGGGGGATATTTGTAGCAATAGCCAACAATACATTGTATGGGTCACAATTATACATTTCTCTTTTATGCCAAAAATCATTAGGATATTAAGTAAAGATCATGTTCCATGAAGATATTTTGTAAATCTCCTACCGTAAATATATCAAAACTTAATGTTTGATTAGTAATATGCATTGCTAAGAACTTCATTTGAACAACTTTAAAGATGATTTTCTCAATATTTAGATTTTTTTGCACCCTCAGATTCCAGATTTTCAAATAGTTGTATCTCAGCCAAATATTGTCCTATCCTAACAAACCATACATCAATGGAAAGATTATTTATTCAGCTT